TGTTGGCCCTGCTGGACAACTGATTGGCTATTGTGTAAAACAGGATGCTGTACTAGATAGACCGTTGGTCTGATCCAGCATGGCACCTCTTATGTTCTTATGATTTGGGCTGAATAGAGATTACATTTTGTCCTATTAAAGGCCGCCTGTAATCTCAGAAGAGTGCTTTGTTGGTGTGGTGCATTTAATTAATTTAATAGATTGTTCGGGAGAGGGCCATGGCTGAGTCCATGTCACTGCTTGCTCCCCTTTCTCTCTGCCTCTGCCTTTCCCTATGTCCTGACTGAGGGGTCTTTATTCCAGACAGCCATTTCTTCCAGCTATCCAAATCCCTTTGTGCCTCATTGCTGGACTCCTACCTGCTGAGACTGTGCATGTAGCAGAGTGTACTTCTTGAAAGCTGAAAAGTGTCCTCTGGTTGCTTCTATGGCTCCATAATACAAATAATGATACCTCAGTGGGACCTCAGTATTCAGAGACAACCTCTTTCTGAGTACCAGGTGTTGATGGGAAACAGCAGGGGAGACCATCACCTGTCATGCCCTGCTTGTGAGCTGCCAGAAAGCTGATCCCGCAGGGCAGCTCCTATGTGCACTTGAAAAAAAAAAAAGACGGTGCCAGTGTTTCTGTGTTTATCTCTACAGAGCCAGAGAAGCACAATATACTTGGGATTCTGGAAAGTATCTTGGTCTGAGTTTCTCTGTGTGTGCATGGATGTTTTGAGTGTCCAGGGGGCTCTTGAGCAGTGTTCCCTCTAAGCTGAGTTAGTGTGAGCTAGCTCACCGTTTTTTAGCCTCCAGCTCACACATTTTTATCTTCGCTCAGGAAGGATGGCTCCAGAGCAAACTAATTTATGCAGCAGCCAAATTGTTTGCTCACAACTTTAAAGCCAGTAGTTCACAAAGCAGAATGTTTGCTCACAAGACTCCACAGCTTAGAGGGAACATTGCTCTTGAGATGTCACCTTTCGGCTAGAAGTCCTTGTGCAGTAATCAGCTTCAGATCATTCTCCAAAGGCTGGTAGAGGCTGTGGAGGGGCACGAGGGGGCTGCTGGGAGCTCTGGAGCATATGCAGAACTTGAGTGCACGTGTGGATCCTATAGCACTTGGATTCCTGCTGCCGTCCTCAAGATAGAATTTTCAGCCTTCTTCATAAGGATGGGCTAACTCTCTGAGTTTAAGTCATGTTGGGTTGGATCCAGCCAGCTCTTTCACTCAATTCCCTGCCATACTACAGCTTTCTGGTCGTCCACATGGTTTTTGTACATGTAGGTACATGATTCCAAGCATAGCCTCTCTGGTTGGACAAAGACACTGTCTCTGTGATTTTTCACCTGCAGGAAAGCCAGTTGGATCCAGCTCACTCTTCCACCACCTTGGGTGTTGTAAAAGTAAGATCTCCCTTCCTTGTGTAGCTCTGCTGTTGCACAAAGGCCTTGCCGAGGGAAGCTTGGAAAGGAATGGGTTTCCTCCCCTCCTCCTCAGGGGGATTTCTTTGCTGCTACACAGGCAGGAGCAATGAAAGCAGTCGACGTTTGCTAGGGCAAATTACCAAAATGGAAAAAAATGGGGGGGGGGAATGTTGTTGGGCTCTCAACAAAGTGTGATGTTTTGTTTGTGGGGATTCTTAAATGCACCCAAACATGGAGCTGTGTGCTGAAGTACATCCTGTGTAGATGAAGAGCAGTTTCACACCTGTCAAATGTTGTAGTTTCTGTATGACTCAGAAGCCCCATATACAGTAGATCACGTGACGTCTTCTATGAACGCTACCCAGCTCATGGTTTTGGGTGGACCACAAATGCGGTATTGCCAAGCTGTCTTGCTGCTTGCCAAAGAGACGATAATAATTTTTTTTGGAGTGCTTTTGAAGTATAGCGAGTTACGAACATAAATGGAAAGTCCTCCAAAGAGGATGATAATGCAGAATCGTGAGTGAAATAAGGCTTTTGAAATTTAGAAAAGTAGTCTTATTAAGGTTTGTATTGCCTGTGGAAAATAGCTTTCAGTAGCTTCAGTGGAGAACTAAAGATTTGTCCCTGCCTCCATTGTAACCACTGCTATTGCGTTGTTGTTGATCTCTGGTCAGCAGTCTTTGCTGTCCACAGCAATCAGCAGGTGGCACAGGAGAATGGAGGGAGGGAAGGCAGCATGGTATAGCCCGATCTCGCCATATCTTGAAAGCTAACCAGGGTCAGCCCTGGTTGGACCCTGGGCAGGAGACTACCAGGGAAGACTGAGATTGCTCTGGGGAAGAAGGCACTGGCAAACCACCTCTGCTTCTCACTTTCCTTGAAAGTGACCTTGCTGGGGTCACCATAAGTTAGCTGCAACTTGACAGCAGCTGCGTATGTAGAGGAGAACAGAATACAGTAGGACTGAGGCAAAAAATTCCATTCCCCTTGCAGAAAATGGTTTTGTGCTCCCGATATCTCTACTGCAGGGCATTCTTTCCACCCTTCCCCTTCAGGTTACAAGCCACTGCAGTTATTTATTAATTGCTTTATGTCATGCATGTGCCACCTTTCCTGCTTGGCTTCCAAGGCAAAACAGCATAAAAGTCCACTTAGCTTAATAAAACCTTACACAACTGAAATAATTAAAAAGTCAAGCAAAAGAACAACTGGAATAAATCCGCCCAAGTAAATGGATTGGAGAAGGTTGGATCAGCTTCCCTGTGAGGAAAGGCTGAAGTGTCTGGGACTTTTCAGTTCAGGAAAGAGATGGCTGAGCGGGGACATGATAGCAGTGTTCCCTCTAAGCTGAGTTAGTGTGAGCTAGCTCACAGTTTTTTAGCCTCCAGCTCACACATTTTTGTTTCCGCTCAGGAAGGATGGCTCCAGAGCAAAATGATTTATGCAGCAGCCAAATCGCTTGCTCACAACTTTAATGTCAGTAGCTCACAAAGTAGAATTTTTGTTCACAAGACTCCACAGCTTAGAAGGGAACATTGGAGAGGTTTATAAAATTATGCATGGGGTGGAGAAAGTTGACAAAGAGAAATATTTCTCCCGTTCCAAAATACTAGAACTCAAAGGCATCCAGTAAAGCAGATGGGCAGTCATTTCAGGACAAAAGGAAATACTTTTATAGCGATTGATTAAAATGTGGAATTCGCTGCCAGGGGATGCAGTGATGGCCAAAGACACAGGCAGCTTTAAAGGGGGATTAGAGAGATTCATGGAGGGTAAGTCTGTCAGTGGCTACTAGCTGTGGTGGCTGAGGGGAACCTCCACATTCAGAGGCAACATTCAGAGGCAGCCTTCGGATCCCGGAGCTAGAAGGCACCATCAGGGGAAGGCCTCGGCCTCTATGCCCTATTGTTGGCCCACCAGAGGAACTGGTTGGCCTCTGTGTGAGACAGGATGCTGGACTAGATGGACTACTGGTCTAATCACACAGGGCACTCACCCCTCCCCCTTGCATTGTGGCCCTAGTTAGGTGATTTAAAGGTATCTGTAAACCGCTCTGAGCCCTCGGGAAGAAGCAGTATATAAGTTGAATGATAAATAAATAAATGTTCTTAAGTGTAGCCCTCAAAGCCCAGGTAGAACTAAAACATGTTTTGGACTGCCTCTGAAGGGAGCCAGATGTACTTCCTAAGAGATATTCCACAGAACTGGGATGAACCACTAAACTCCTGATTGCTGAAAAGGCCCGGGATTGGATGTAAAGGGGAGCAGGAAAACTTCACAGATCCTTCTAAAAGGAGCAGAAACATTCTTTGCCTTTTTCCAGACGTAAGGTCTGCTTCAGGCCTTGACTTCAGTTGTACCGTTTTGTTTGCTGATATTAACAAGGTTGTGTTAAGGGAGGCAGGGGCAGGAGCTCCATGTGGTCCAGTTGCTTCTACACTTTCCTTTGAGGCTGCTGTATCCAATTAATTTGAGATTAGTTTAGAATGGTAGAGCTGGAAGGGGCCTAGTTTATCCCTCTGCAGGAAATCCAAGCTAGGGCATTTTGTTCTTGCCATTAAGAAATTTCTCCTGATGTTCAGTGGGAAACTACATTACATTACGCCCTTTGGAGCATAAGTCTGTGTCCTGTTCTGTGTGACTGACTGCCCTTCAGATACTTGAAGAGTGCTGCCGTGTCTCCCCACAGTCTTCTCTACTGCAGGCTAAATGTGCTCAGTCTTTCCTCTCAAGATTTGTTTTCCATACCCGTGACTGTTCCTGACCTCCTCTGAACCCATTCCAATTTGGTCTATGTTTTTATTGAAATGGGGCACCCAAAACTGGACATAGTATAGCAGCTGAGATCTCAGTATCATGGAATAAAGTTCAACAGTTACTTCCTTTGACTCGGGTATGATGCATTTTGTTAATTCAGATTAATTCATATTAGCCTTTCTGTAGCCATGTCATGCTACTGACCAGTATTCAACTTGTGGTTGACTGCAATCCAGACGTCTTTCCCCATGTACTGTTGCCAGGCCAGATGTGTTGTTATCCTTTGTCTTGTACTTGTGCATTTTATTCTTTTTACCTAAATGCAGAAATTTGCATTTGTCTCTGCTGAATTTCGTTTTGTTAATTTCAGCCCAGATTTACAGCCTATTAAGGTTATTTTGAATACACGAAGCTTCATTATGCTGAATAAGACCATTGGTTCCTCAAGTCTTGAGCCAAGATAAAAAGCAGGGTACAAATTAAAATATTTGTACGAATTAAAATATTTAATAAAATAAGTCTTGTCTACTTGGATTGGCAGTGTCTCTCCAGGGCCACAGACAGAGACAGAGGATTTTCATATCACCTCTGACCTGATCCCTGATAATGCTGGGGACTGAACCTGGGAACTTCTGTATGCAAAGCAGATACTCTGCCACTCAGCCATAGTCCCTCTGGTCCATTTTTGCTGGCTACTCAAGTGTTAGCTATCCTTCGCAGTGTTTGTGTTGTGTGCAGATTTAGCAAGGATTGTGTCCACCCCTTCATTTACAGGCCCTTTTCCTTTCAGTGTATTCCCTAAATACGTTGCCTCCTATTTTCTTCTAGATGTCTCGGGATGAGACGGTGTGTAAATACTGTGGAGTTAGCTATTTGATCCTTCATGAGTTCAAAATGCTAGAAGAGAAAGTCAAAGCGATGGAAGAGAAGGTGAAGTTTTATGAGGGAAGTGTGGAACGGGAGAACCAGCTTCAAGAAAAGCTACAGCGCCTAAGTCAAGATTTTGACCAGTGCACAGCAGCCAGTGAATCAAAAACAGAAAGGTCGGCACATGTTATTCATTCTTGGGTTTCAAATGAATATGCTCCTTAATGTAATTCAGAAGAGAACAGACTTTGGCTGTCTTGCCCGATGGCTTGCATCAGGTATTATTTTCAGCTGAGTTCACGTTAATGAAATGCTGGCATTTGAACCATGCTGTAGAGACCACTGCTTGCGGCTTGGATTGTTGAGCACTAGTTGATAATGTCATGGAAAGAAAATCAGAAAGTTATTTTAAAGCCTGCTGTCCTCAGAAAGTGCAACTTAACTTTTCAGTCACCCGTTTCCTGACTGCTGGAAGGTTTTCCTCATTATGGACAGCGACATTGTGCTGTGGCCCTCCCAGGTGTGGCCTGTGCAATTTGCTCTCATGCATAGTGGTAGACCTGCCATTCAGTCAGACTTCATACAGCCTTCTTATAGACACTGCAGCCCAGCTAATATTGGGCACAAAGAGTGCGTGTCACACCCACTTAGAAGACACTCCACTGGTTACTGAAGTTACTGAATTAATTTTAAAATTTTGGTTGTCACCAACAAAGCCCCTAAGAGCCTTGGACCCACATCCTTGCAGGACCACTTCTCCTGCTATGCCCCATCACGTCAGTGCTGCTCATCTGAGCAAAGCCTTCTGAGGATGCCACCCTGCAAATAGCAAAAATCGGCAACAGCTGGTTCATGTACATTCTCTGTGGTGCTTCCACCTTGTGGAATGGCCTGCCTGAGGTGGTCAGGAAAGCGCCCACATTTTTGTCGTTTCACAGAATGTGTAAGAGAACCATTCAACTTTAATCACTGATGTCTGGTTGTTTATCATATGGCTGGTGGTGCCAGTAGTTTTAGAACACAAATCCTGATTCCAGTAACATGCCTGGTCTGCAGCAGAGACATGCATTATAATGCGAGATGAATGCAGATTAATTGCAGTACTGGAAAGTAAGGTTTTCTCTCTGCGGCCCACAGACAAGGTATGGAGCCTGCAGATCCACAGTTGCGGGAGTTCTTTTGATTCCGTGACCACCCAATTCACTAGCCGGGGTCCTCCAAGCTGTCTTGTTAGATGTTGCTGAATATATTTTTTTCTTGTGGCTGTGGCCTCCTTACTGCTGGAGCCAGTAAATGCCTCTTGTCCTCTTAATGCAGGGAATGCTAGTTACAAAAGGCTCCCTTTGAGGAAAGTGGGGTAAGATCTGACAAAAGTGTGCATCAGAGACTGCTGTTTGGCAGCCCCAGGCAGGCAGAAACAGCAGGCCATAAAAGCTCAAAGGGGAAAAGGTTACAAAGAAAAGGGCCGGGCCCTGGCTGGACATTTGAGGAAGTGACTTGTGTACACAAGATAAAGCATTATTGATCTGGGCTCTTGAATACACAGCATTCAGAGCCCAGGTGTTCCCAGATAATTGAGCAATGGCCTTTTCTCCAGTTTTACAAAGGCAGGGCACGAAAGTTGTTGATGTAAGTACCATCTGAAGTCTGCCTGGGTATGGAGGCTTGCTAATCACTAGGATCCCTTATTTCAGAACTCCCAAGGTTTACTCTGTAAGGACATGGTGTACCCTTGTCATTCTTATTGGGTGATTTTGCAATTAAATGCTTTTGAATGGAACTGTTACCACCTTCAGAAATTGTGAGGTCAGCATCTCCACTGACCAGGTGTGTTATCTTCGTAGCGGGCAGATGCGGATTTCCATTCCTTTCTTGCATGGTCATGTTATGCTTGCCATCAAAGGTCTGTGTGACTCCTCTTACTTGGACGGCCTTTTAGTGTGACTCAAATGCTGATGTTGAAGTTCGAATCGAGTGCACAAGAGCCTATTGTCCGTATTAATTAGTTTTATCTTTTTTTAAAAAAAAATACCGGGGAATAGTGTTTGCTGAAGAAAGATTATTCTGGCTATGTTTACTGAAGCTCTTGCGACGAAACCCAGAGGTTTTCTTGGGTCATGCACTGACCAAATATGTTTCTGGAAAGACAACGTATAATAGGACTGTTATACAGCCTCCAGTCTAATGTGCCTTTGCACATGCTACTTACCTAACTCACTAGTTAGCAGAAAGTACCACTTAGGTATCTTCCTTGTGAAATAACAGCTGTATTGTGGTATCAGCTTCAGTGAGGTATAGATTACTTTGTCATAAGTGTCATAAGCATTACAAGTTGGTATCGTTTGTTGTAGGTCTGCTGCCACAGTCCAGTTCACAAAATAATTTGTGCCGCTATACATCACCTAGTTTTAACATGCCGTAAGTCTGCTTAGTGTTGTCGCTGAAACTAGCTTCACACAATTGCCACTCTAGAATGCTTGTTCATAAATTGTTTTTTGTAACATTATTGCTTCCCTTCCAGCCCACATCTGTAATTTTAGTGTGTAAACTGAGAGCTGACTGTGGTGTTCAAAGCTGGGACAGAGGCTGGTGGTGGAAATATGGAAAACAGTACCATGCCTTCTTCCTTGGTGTTTTGCTTTGAATAAAGTTAGCCAAGCTTTGTTTAGAATCACAGATTCATAGAGTTGTAAAGGGTCCTACAGGCCATCTAGTCCAACCCCCTGCTCAACACAGGATCAGCCTGAAGCATCCCTGGCAAGTGTTTGTCCAACTGCTGCTTGAAGACTACGAGTGAGGGGGAGCTCACCACCTTCCTAGGCAGCCGATTCCACTGCTGAACTAAAAAAAAATGCTAATATCCATCCAGTATCTTTCCACTTGTAATTTAAACCCATTATTGCAAGTCCTGTCCTCTACTGCCAACAGGAACCGCTCCCTGCCCTCCTCTAAGTGACAGCCCTTCAAATACTTAGAGAGAGCAATCATGTCCCCCCTCAGCCTCTTTTTCTTCAGAATGAACATTTGAGTCAGATTGAGGTGACCTGAGTCAGATTGAGGTGACGAGAGAGGAGGTCCTAAAACTGATAGACAACTCAAACACTGATAAATCACCAGGCCCAGATGGCATACATCCGAGAGTTCTGAAAGAACTCAAATGTGAACTTGTGGATCTGCTGACAAAAATATGTAATCTTTCCTTAAAATCTGCCTCCATTCCTGAGGACTGGAAGGTAGCAAATGTCACTCCCATCTTTAAAAAGGGTTCCAGAGGAGATCCGGGAAATTACAGGCCAGTCAGTCTGACGTCGATACCGGGTAAATTGGTGGAAACCATTATTAAGGAAAGAATTAGTAGGCACATAGATGAACAAAACCTATTGAGGCAGACTCAACATGGGTTCTGTAAGGGAAGATCTTGTCTCACTAACCTATTAGTGTTCTTTGAGGGGGTGAACAAACATGTGGACAAGGGGGATCCAATAGATATTATTTACCTTGACTTCCAGAAAGCTTTTGATAAAGTTCCTCATCAAAGGCTCCTAAGCAAGCTCAAAAATCATGGGATAAAAGGACAAGTCCTTTTATGGATCAAAAACTGGCTAATTAATAGAAAACAGAGAGTGAGTATAAATGGGCAGTTCTCTCAGTGGAGGGGGGTAAGCAGTGGGGTACCGCAGGGATCAGTACTTGGTCCACTGCTTTTTAACTTGTTCATTAATGATTTGGAGATGGGAGTAAGCAGTGAAGTGGCTAAATTTGCGGATGATACAAAGTTGTTCAAGGTGGTGAAAACCAGTGAGGATTGTGAGGCACTCCAAAGGGATCTGTCAAAGATGGGCAAGTGGGCGTCAACATGGCAAATGGGGTTCAATGTGGCCAAGTGCAAGGTGATGCACATTGGAGCCAAAAATCCTAAATATAAATACACATTGATGGGGTCTGAACTGGCAGAGACTGAGCAAGAGAGAGATCTTGGAGTTGTAGTGGATAACTCACTGAAAATGTCGAGACAGTGTGTGACTGCAATAAAGAAGGCCAATGCTATGCTGGGGATTATTAGGAAGGGTATTGAAAACAGATCAGCCAATATAATAATGCCCCTATATAAATCAATGGTGAGACCTCATTTGGAATACTGTGTGCAGTTCTGGGCACCACACCTTAAAAAGGATATTATAGCTTTGGAAAAAGTGCAGAAAAGGGCAACTCGAATGATAAAAGGGTTGGAACACTTTCCCTATGAGGAAAGGTTAAATATCATCCGCAAATTTAGCCACTTCACTGCTTACTCCCAACTCCAAATCATTAATGAACAAGTTAAAAAGCAGTGGACCAAGTACTGATCCCTGCACAATAACAATCACTGATTTTTTAAAAAGAAGTCCTCCAGTGGTATGGACAGACAACTGCACAGAACTGATAGAAGGAAAATGCTGACAATGTGGGTGAGAATGCATTAGAAATCCCCCCCCCCGAACAGTATGTGCAAACATTTCCTTTAGAATATGGTCCCCCTTGTTCATAGGTTTTCTGACTGACAACATGTAGAATTGTCCAGTTCAGTTGTGTGTGCCCTCTTTCCCCTCCATGTTACGTGGAATCAGTTTTTGAAACCAGTTGGAGTTTCAGAAGCAGTTTGTGATATGTCATAGGGGTCTTTTATTCAAGGGGGGGGGTCAGAATTCCCACCGGTCAAAGGCAAGCCTTCAGTTGGAATTTGGATTCCAGTCATGCTTCATGTCCCTTCAGTAGATGAACTTGACAGCCCTTCAAATGACAGATGAACTTGATGTATGAAAATAATCATGTGTAAATGGAAAGTAAGAAGAGCTGTGTGGAATCAGACTGTGGATGTCTGTTCGTTCAACATCCTGTCTCCCACAGAGGCCAATCAGATGCCTCTAAGACCTCAAGAAAGACCCTCAAGTTGCTGTCCTCTTCCTGTAGCTAAGACCTAGCTACACATTATACTGGTTTCTGGTCTTGTCTGAGTCCTGTCAAACCAGATGTGCCCTGGGAGTTCCATGTTTGGAAGTCTCAGTGATGTCTGAAACTGAATTCATTTGCCTGATTCAGATTGGGACCAGGGTCTGTGGGGACAGAAGGCTTAACCCTTCCCCCGCTCATCCTGTTTTTCTGATCTGAGGAGGTGCCATTTGCCCCATCAGTGGAA